AAGAAGCTCCAATGAAATTTGAGCATGGGTCCAAGAATTTTCTTGGATGACCCCTCAGGACCGTGAATCTCTGGTAGGCTAGTAAGAAGCCTTCAGCAGACTGGTCACTCACAATGTCAGTGTGCATAGTTCTGGATGCCATTGAGCAGTAAACAGTTCCCCAGTCTTTTCCTCTCTTCATCCTTTACTTCGTAAAGGCAAAACATTTCTAAGGTTGTGAATTTGAAGGGTGCAACTGGCCCTGCCCTTTCTCAGCTGGAAGGTCACAGTCTTTTTGCCCTTGTCTTTTTGCAGATCACGCAGCTTTCTACTAGCATCTTGGCTAGTCTTTAACCTTTAATTACCCATGGTTCCATGCTGGGCACCATTGCCAATGGCCCCCAGCAAGTTTTGACTGTCTACCAGGTGGAACCACTGCTTAACTTTCATCTGCCCATGCTTCTCAATGTACTTCCTGAGCTGTACAGCGAAAACTGTGCCACAGAGGTCAGCCTTTACAGTATCTCCCTTCTGGTCCAGTGGTGTCAACTTGGCCTTGGAGTCGACTAATCTGTCGTCTATTTCCTGATCTGTGTCCTATCTTAGGCAGAATACAGTTCCATAAATTTTGTCACATCTGAGAATGTGATCCTCCATGGATTTCCTTTCCTGCCAGCGGGTGTGAGACTTGAGATTTTCAGAAAGTGGTTTTCCATGTCTTTTGGGTTAATCTCCCGTTTTCTTTAAGCCTTGATGTTGTCCTCTCTTATCTAGTTTGGGAGTACAACAGTGTTAATTTCGTTGACAAATAATTTTCGTCAACAAAAAGATTTTTCACCAACGACAACGAGACGATAACTAACTAAAACTCTTTTTAAATGACAAAAACTATGACAAATCTATTGACATTTTCATCAATGAATAAAAACGAGATGAAAATGTTAGGGAGGGATGATTTGGGAAGAGATTCATTCAGAACGAATCTGCTGCGTGGTAACATACACTTGCTGCAAGTCGCATAAAACGTTCGTAAGAGAAGAGCAGACATGTTACTTATGTAACCATTTTTCCCTGAGTAGGGAACGAGACACTGTGTCCTCTAAGGGTCGCTATGGGGAACGCCTCGTCGTAACCCGTGTCTGAAGCATACATTCAAAAAACACCAACAACATGTTGGCCGGCGACAGCCCATGACATCACTACCGGTGTGACTATAGTGTAAATAGGAGCCAGGAGAACACGTCATTCACTTGCATTCGAAGCATGGCAGGAAACCTAAAGGACGCAGTGTCTCGTTCCCTACTCAGGGAACCATGGTTACATAAGTAACCTGAGACGTTCCCTTTCAAGGGAACTTCGAACTGCGTCCTCTAGGGGTCGC